CAGGATTAGAAAGGTTGAAGACACTATCAGATCATGCTTCTATTAAAATCCGCTAGGAAATGCGGCCAATAGAACTGGCTTAATAAGAATTTAATCATTTTCAAGGGCTTTTTCTCAGTCAAGTAATAAACATAAGAGCCTGGTGTGACTATGACATGGGCATACCTTCGCTCCGTAACCAAGTATATTGATTCCATACCTCAGAAATATTTCAAGACGTCTAAACAGTGATACTCAAGAATAAATGAAAAGCATTCATGACTGCCTGAACCATCCGTGCACTGCAAGTGTAAGGTCACAGAGCCATAACTTGTTTAGAAAGTCTTTTAAGCTTCGTGACTGAGGAAAGCGTTGTGAATTCACCATGAAGCGCGGTTTGGAGAAATTACATTTTTCTGAAAATAATATTTCATATTTCCAGAGCATCTACATGTTTATCCGCTAGTCGAAACAGTTGTCAATTGTCAAGAGCTCTATTCCGGTTTGAGCTTTAGTTCTGACAAAGCACTACAAGAGATTTAGCACAACACGTAGTTTTCACAGGCAGTAGGAAATAGTCATTCATATATTCGAACAATTTCACAGACCCCACTCTCTTCGACAAAAGTATATAACCAATAAATACTTCAAACTTTACTTACTACAAATCAGTGCTTATTACATATCACTAGACATCCAAATTTTAAAAGCGACAATCGTTATAGAACGCAATTATCAAATATAAAGCAACAGCAAAGGAAGTTTGTAGTACAAAAATGAACATAACTAACAGAATTTACGTAAATGATTAAACCACGTTCTTCTCAGTGAGCATTTTGAATATCACCTCGGACGCTTCGATGTAGTAGTCAGATCCTAAATCGAAACGCATGAAAGCAAAACTGAAGAAAAATCCACAGGGCAAAATTCTTCAACCTTCCATCCGCTTGAACGAATCAACTGGTAAGTTGGCATCACCATAAAACGCACCGGCTATCGCGCCGGCCATCGTGCCGATGGTGTCCGTGTCACCGCCAAAGCTAATGGCAAAGGCGATAGTGCGAAACACAACATTAAGAGCCTAAAAGCAACGTCAGAAGGTAACAATCGCTCTCTGACATTCATACGTCTGGCTGCCCATCGTCGCTATCTTTCATACATCGTACGAAACTATAAAGTGCACTAGGTACAGAATCTGCCGCTGCCATACCATTGCCTATTATTTAAAAAATAAGGAATTAGTGAAACAGAAATAAAGTGATGGATTCAATATGCAATTGTTTGCTAAATGTCGATTCTGAACAAACCTGAAAATATTGGCTAGCAAAGTACATCAACAAACCGAAATGCAGAGCTTGGTCAAAGTTGACCACAGCTATTTAACATAAGAAACATACTCCTAGAAGAATTCATATAATGCAAAGTTAAATTTTAAAACAGGTACACAGTTGTTCTGTGGCTTGGACTAATAACGCGTCGCATCGTATCGTATCATCTCTCGGGTTTGTTCATTTTGTTGGAACAAAGTCAAATATTGCCACGCGAAGTACAGCATGATAAGATTTCGGTTCATTCAAGTGCAAGGAAGAGCAAGAAAATTATCAGTAAATTATGAAAGAGTATGTTGAAGTTCTAGCGCAAATATTCAGCTATTTGAAGGAAGCACTGAAATTAATTTTCCAGCAAAGTTCCTCGAAGAGATGTCACAACACTCAAGCTGGCTGTTTAGCGCATGTGTTGAGCGACTGTTGGGCAAACCAAAATGGGACTGAACATTTTCAATCGACGGCAGACGGCTAACTCATCTTTGATCTGTTGACATACCGTGGGCAAAAAACAGCTGAATTAATGCTGTGTATGCAAAAGTTAAACATAAAAGTTGCTCTTTGGATAAAGAGGGCAAAGGTAAAATTGAAGAGAATCGAATTCACACAACCAGCTAGAGTTGTCACTAATGACTCATAAGCAGAAAAGTTACACAGTATGTGAATCGTACTGTGTACCGTCCCGGATCATTTCTTTAATGCAGATATCGCTAGAAAGCGTCGTACGGCGTGGAATACATATAGAAAAATCGATGATGTACTTGAAAACAGCAATTTGTCAATGAGGCTACAACACGTAGTAAGAAAGAATGGTACTACAAACTGCTTTATACCATTGTGAGATCTAGATATTAACGAAACAACAAAAACAACTGCTAAGAGTGCAACAGAAAAGCATCGATCGAACAAACGAACGGAATATCCATTACGGAAAAACTGCAAAATGAAAAAAAAATAAGGCGCTCAGGTATGGAGGTTAGTGTTTCATTCTCATAACAAAGAAAACCACAACGGACAGGAGAGAGCGCACAGCTAATGGATAATTAATAGACTTTGGCAGTAACGGATTAATCCGCAAAAGAGTGCAAGATCCTAGCTGTGAAATCTCGCCTCATTTAAGACGATCATCTAAAAGTAACATGTGGAAATATGTAACGACAAATCGCACGTTCAGACGAGCGCGAGCATCGAGATTGGGCAAGTGCAATTCTCTTTAATCCCGAAAAAGGATCAATTGATCTTTGTTGCCTAAACTGTTTCTATTTTAGGATAGTTCTACATACGTTGTAAAGCAGGATTCTTAGCGTTGCCGTTGAACGAGTGGATTTTCTTTTCACTTTCGAATAAATTCAGTGAACTGAAATTAATTCTTTTCCGTAAACTTTTACAGCTAATTCAATTCAATAGTCAAATTAGCACTAAGAGCAAATCTTCAAGTCATCATTTTCTAAAATCATTGGATCTATTTTGCGTAAGCAAAATTTTCAAATAAATGTCTGCAAATAAAAGTTGGTGATATTAGAGCAAGGGTTCTCAACCAATGGAAAATTCGCCCTGGGAGGGGGATTTTAAGGGGTCTAGGGGGGACTGGGGCAACTATTCAGCTAAATGTGATGTTTTGTAGAGGATGTAAAAACTGCAAGATTTTAGTTTCTTTTAATTTACGCGGCGACGCTCAGTAAAGATTACTGAATGCCACAAATTAAAATCGATTCTTATATATGCGCATTATGTTAATTTGCGGAATTAAATTATTATTCAAAGACCAGAAAGTGTACCAAAAATTCTATTATACAGTAAAACTAAAAAATTTTTCTCTCACGAAAAGTATCACAGTCACTCGCAAAGCGTCGTCTGTCTCAACGTTAAAATTTCTAAACACGGCGAGGTCAGGGGTTAGTCCCCCCCCCAGCGAAAACACGAACGCGCTGACCATTAACAAAAGTGAAAATATAATTGCAATTACATAGTTTAAGGGTCATACATCAACTATAGCCAGCGCTAATACATGATGTCGTAATATTTTTCTCAATTATTGTGGAACCCCTTTATTATACGAATTCCCTGCCTTCCGCTGGGGCAGTGATATCACATGATACGAAAGAACTGAGCATTAATTAAGGAAATAAACCATTCTGAAATACATGAAAAATAAAATAGCATTTATTAATTTATTTCTTTTGTATAAATAAAGTTATTTTTTTAGTCCTGGCTCAACTATAAGTAGCACTGATATACGGACGTAAACTTTTCTCTATTCGAGTCGGGACTACCTAGGCCTCAGATATTTTGGTAAAGGTTTCATCTTAATTTGAACCAGAAAATCTTTTATGGGATAATGTCAGTGAGTGCTGTACAGATGGAGTGCTGAGT